AAGTATGATGGAGATCGCACGATATAATTTTGCAAGACCAACGAACTATTCATTGGAAATACCTTTTTTCAATAACATAAATGGCAACTATACACATGGACCTCACCAGACGGAATACACAGGAATCAAATCGACTACTTCTGTGGAAAAAGACAATGGAAAAGCTCAATATCGTCAATCAGAACAAGGCCAGGGGCTGGCTTCGGAACAGGCCACCAACTGTTCAAATGCAAGTTCACGTTGAAGGTGAAGAAAATGAAAACAAGTCTACAACAGCCAAAGTACAACCTTAAGTATATTCCACCTGAATTTAGAGACCATCTCAAGAATAGATGTGACGCATTGAACACTGATGACCCAAGACCGAACGAGTTGTGTGAATGACACCAATGACATCATACATGAAGAAAGCAAAAGGTCATTAAAAAGAAAGAAAAGACCAAAATGGATGTCAGAAGAGGCACTTGAATGTAAAGTAGCTAAAACCAACAGAAGAAATGATTATGTAAAAGAGCTGAACAGAAGATTTCAAAGGGCGGCTTGAGAAGACAAAGTAAAGTATTATAATGAAATGTGGAAAGACCTGGAACTAGAAAACCAAAAGGGAAGAACTGCTTGACATTTCTCAACCTAAAAGCACTTAAGAAGAAATTCAAGCCTAGAATTACAATACTGAAGGATTCTATGGACAAAATATGAACAACACAGGAAGCATCAAAAGAAGACGGAAAGAATACAGAGTCATTGTACCAAAAATAATTGGTCAACATTCAACTAGTTCAGGAGGTAGCATTTGATCAAGAACTGGTGGTATTCAAGTAAGAAGTCCAAGCTGCACTGAAGGCACTGGCAAAAAACAAGTTTCCAGGAATTGACAGAATACCAACTGGGATGTTTCAACAAACGGATGCAACACTGGAAGCACTCACTTGTCTATGCCAAGAAAGTTGGAAGACAGCTACCTGGGCAATGACTGGAAGAGATCCATATTTGTGCCCACTCCAAAGAAAGGTGATCCAACAGAATGTGGAAATTATCTAACAATATCATTAATATCACATGCAGGTAAAATTTTGCTGAAGATAATTCAAAAATGGTTGCAGCAGTACATCAACAGGGAACTGTCAGAAATTCAAGCCGGATTCAGAAAAGGATGTGGAATGAGGGATATCATTGCTGACATCAGGTGGATGTTGGCTGATAACAGAGAATACCAGAAAGATGTTTACCTGTGCTTTATTAACTATGCAAAGGCATTCGGCTGTGTGGATCACAACAAAATATTGATAACATTATGAAGAATGGGAATTCCAGAACACTTAATTGTGCTCATGTGAACCTGGACATAGATCAAAAGGCAGTCTTTCAAACAGAACAGAGGGATACTGTGTGTTTTAAATTCAGGAAAGTCGTGTGTTAGGGTTGTATCCTTTCACCATACCTATTCAATCTGTATGCTGAGCAAATAATCTGAGAAGCTGGACTATATGAAGAAAAATGAGGCATCAGGATTAGAAGACTTATTAACAACCTGCATTATGCAGATGACACAACCTTGCTTGCTGAAAGAGGACTTGAAGCACTTACTGATGAAGATCAAAGACCACAGCCTTCAGTATGGATTACACCTCAACATAAAGAAAACAAAAATCCTCACAACTGGATCAATAAGCAATGTCATGATAAACAGAGAAAAAGATGGAAGTTGTCAAGGATTTAATTTTGCTTGGATCCACAATCAATGCCCATGGAAGCAGCGGTCAAGAAATCAAACAACATATTGCATTGGGCAAATCTGCTGCAAAAGACCTCTTCAAAGTGTTAAAAAGCAAAAATGTCAGTTTGATGACTAAGGTGCATCCGACCCAAGCCATGGTATTTTCAATTATCTCATAGGCATGAGACAGCTGGACAATGAATAAGGAAGACCGAAGAAGAACTGATGGCTTTGAATTATGGTGTTGGCTAAAAATATTGAATATACCTTGGGCTACCAGAAGTACAAACAATCTGTCCTGGAAGAAGTACAGCCAGTATGCTCTTTAGAAGTGAGGGTGGTGAGAGTTTCATGTAATTTGGACATGTTATCAGGAGGGACCAGGGATTGATTATCCGATAAGCAAGATAAGCATGTGCTTAGGACATCAACAAAACAGGGGCACCAGTTGTCCAAAGCAAAGACCCATAGATGCCAAGAAGACAGGACAGAAGGAAAAGTGAGCACTGCAGTGGAAGGGAATTGGCAGGGCACTAAATGAAATTGCTATCAACTCCAATGCGTGAGAATGTGCTTGCCAGAAATAAAGTTCACGAAGGATCCAGAGGCACCCACAGGCAAGGTTGTTTAAGCTATGAGGCCCCTACCACTTCAACACCTTCATTGACATCTGTCTCCTATGGTCTCCTCCCGTGTAACTCACACTCTTTACCTCGGTGGGTTCTGGGGAGTATACTATTCCTATCTAATAAACAAGAGGCAGGAGTGGGCTGTTGAGTCTAACTCTTGCTACATTAACCCCATATGTAACTGGAGCCAACATGAGTGGTTACTGGGCAAGGACAGATTATATTAATAGATAACAAGCCTCTGATCCATTTTGAGAGAACTATATCTTGTACATCCATGTCTGCTGATCCAGCAACTACAGCCAGGAGGGCTAGCAATGCTCTTTTTCATGATACGAACACAAGGATATGTTCTTGTGCACATCCTGGTAAACAACCAATAGGAACTCCAGTCCCAGATAACACACAAAAGTGAAGGAACTCAATAAACTGACCATTGCAATGGATTCAATGATGTTACTTTTTAACTGTATAGCATTTACACGTATTCCTTACTTTAATGATCATAAACTGCACAACAGAATGCTCATTTTCACCCCTAAAGAGACTCAGTGTATAACAATGATTCAAGAAAGACTCGATTCATTATTCTAATTTTATATGGAAGTAGATATTGTTTGGCAGCTTAACTGTGATGAAATCATCGAAGAATTTGTAAGAGCAAAGAATAGAAAGAAATGGTTTTAATTATAACATGTTAAAGATGAAAGAGCTATCTAAACTTAAATACAGTAATGTTTTCTAATCATTAAGTGTTCTTTTATGATATCTTTTCATCTGATCATTTACAATTATAGTATTTATTATGAAACAAGCATTAAAATTGAAGTATGAGCCATTTAAAGCAATTTATACTGACTGTTGAAACAACTAAGTTCACTAACTCATTTTCTTTATTGTAGAATATGTGGAATTTTTTTTTGTAGAAAATGTAGTATATAGTAAATATCTCAGTATTTCACAGCCACTAAAAATTTTATAATCCATTTCATCTCATTCCGCTAAAATGGCATATGCCACTTTTGCATTCAATCTCTAATATTATAGTTGCATTTGAAAGCAAGTTTCATCATGGATAGCTAAGACCCACAAACACACACACACACACACACATATATATATATACACATGTATATATATGACTCACAGATCCTGTTTGAATGCGTAAGTAAGCTGGGAGGGGGCACCACAGATCATCAGTGCTTAAGGCTCTCGCAGGTCTAAACCTGGCCTTGGGAGGAACCAGTCCCTTGAGAAGGACATCATGCTCAGTAAAGTAGAAGGTTAGAGAAAAAGAGGAAGACCCACAATGAGATAAATTGATACAGTAGCTGTAACAATAGGCTTACACATAGCAACAATCGTGAGGATGGAGCAGAACTGGGCAGTGTTTCGTTCTGTTGTACATAAGGTCACTATGAGTTGGAACCAACTTGATGGCACCTAACAAAAATAACCACCTATGTCTCAGGGTATCATTGTGAGCAAGGAATAATATTACGCACATAAAGTGCTGAGAATAATATCTAGCACAAAGTAGATGCTTGATAAATGGAAGTTGTTGATGTTGTTGTATCCAGGGTCATAGTTGAGTGCCCTTTCATCCTCTGCACTCTTATCCTTTTCTCGAAGGTTTCATGGACTATGCTGTTGCTCTGTCTAGGGCTGGCTACCACAGCCCTGTGATGCTTCCCTGAGGGCTGGTGTGCCCAGTCTGTGCTAACACAAGGAATGTCTCCTTGTTGGGGGTTCAGGACCCATTGTTGCTATTATTGCTGCAAGGCACCATTGCTTTCTTCTCCCCTACACTTACTACTTGCCAATTGAAGGGCTAGAGATAAAAATAACATATCTTGGTTACTGTGTTAGGCATTGTTATAAGAGCTGATTTTTATTATTCAGGGCACAGAGAGGTTAAGTAACTTGCCCAGGATCACACAGCTAGTAAATGGTAGAGCTAGGATTCAATCCCAAGGTTTTAACTAGAACCTTGAGGGGTGACCTCAAGATGCGCCTCTCAACGGGGGAGAGAAGATACTTCTGCCTCTTCTTGGGGCAAGGTAGACAAGTGGAAAGAGAAACACTGGATGTGAAGTGAGAACATGTGGCCACAGCTTGGTCATCTACCAGCTGTGTATCTATGGTCATCTCACTTTGACGTTTTTGAATCTCTATTCCCAACTTTTGAAGGGGAAAAATGAAACTCTATTAACCTTACAAGACTGTTCTGGGATAAAATGGAATCACATACATGAAAGTGCTTTGAAAACCACACAGAGCTGTACAAATGCTCAGTTAGGCAGAAAAAAATCATTCTAAAACAGCAACTACTCTAATTCAAGTAAAACACATTTTATTTCATTTGAAATATCTAATAAATTAAAGCCAAAATAGAATGTTTTTGCTTGAATTCTCAGATCAGTACCTTAATTATTCACTTAATGCGTAGGGACCACAATTTCACACGCAGTTTTTCTGCTTGTTTAAGCTGGCTAATTTGTAGACTTCTTTAAACACTATTCAAGCCTTTGAAAAACAAAGCTTATGGGAAAATATTATTCCAATAAGCTTTTAATGACAAACTAAATTTTGAGTTATCCTTTTTACTCATCCTGGAAATGTAGCTTGGCTAAGGTAACTGGATGAAGACTTACTCTGATTTTTGTTTTTGGCTTTTAGACTGCTGGAGAATCTTGATGCCCATCTTAAACAGATGGTCTCCTTCATCTGTGACATTTTTCTTTGCTTGACTTTTTACTATATGTGGATAAACAAGGGAAAATAAAAAGAGCAACATTATTCTTATGTTTTATATTTGAGAAACAGAGTATTAATTCTTGTGGAAGCCAGATTTCTGGGGTCCACAGAGGTGAGGTGACCCATCCCAGGCCATTGCCCGGAAATGTTCTTTTGAATCTTGAGCCTTGAAGAAACTGGTTTCTAAAAGTAGCCTTGGAGTCAAACAATGGTCTAAATAAATTAGTAAAGACTGTTTTGCCTTAGGCACTGTATTCCTTTAAAGAATTATCTATGTGCAGTCAGTTTAGAAAAAACAGAAATTCCAGGGTCAGACTAGAAGCTGTGTTTTAGGGTAAACTGCTATTATATAAACACTGTTCTGATCCTGTTTCCACGGCAATGTCCGTAAGACAGAGTATAAGAATCTTTGGAAGTTCTCTCATCTTTGGAACATTTGTGACGCCTAATCAGAATGTTACCCCAATTTGCAAATCGTATATTAAATAAACTTCAATCAATTTCTATTATTGACTTAATATGATTTTTGTTTTAACATATTTAAAAATAATGCGTTGGTATAATGAGGTCTTGTTCTGCATATTTCTATAATGATCTCAAATCCTATAAGGAATAAGACACTATTACACTTTCAAAATATTCACATGAATATTCACTCATAATATGAACTTAGAAATACATCTTCCTTTGTAAGGCTAACATTAACTGTAAGTCATTAGTAACCTGTAGGTCATGAGAAAAGTTATTTAGAAAATTTCTGAACTTAGACATAGAAACATAGACACATGTGAACTATGTAAAGAACGTAAACAACTGAGTTCACTTTGACCCAGCATGCTGTGATACAAGAAAACGTAACATAAATCTAAATTACCTCCCTGATTTCTAACCTTGAAGAAAAAAATGTGTCATTTAGCTACTCTCTAACCCTGCAGAAAAGACATAACACGCTAGTCTTTGACGTCACACTAGCCCTTGTTGTATGGAGCCAAGGTGATAAATTCACATATAAACTCCAAATTTCTGCTCATTCACTGAGAGAAGGCAGAGATGAAACTGAGATTCTGTCCACTGCCGCTGACCTTGGACCCTAGCTACAAAGGACCTCTGTCAAGTTTGAGACATGGTTAAGCCTTCCTCCTAAAACCTCTCGTTAAAGGTAAAAGACTGAAGTCTAAAGATTTGAATTCTAACCATTGAACTAACATTGTATTGTAATTGTAATTGTTAATTCTGATTCTCCAGTTGTAAATGAATGCTATGAGATCTTACTTGGGTGCCTAACCAAGACTACCTTGCAATAAACTAAACCTGAGTATCTCTCTATTAATTTTCTAAGATAAAAATTCTACACAAGAGCTATATAATAGTTTGAATTTTTCTCAAGCTATTTTTTTTGTAACCTCTGTATTTCAAGAAGAGCACTTTGACCTTCCTGTTATTCCCAAGCTTTAGGGGCTTCTGTAGGTTAGAAAGCAGAAGTTGCCTCTTCCTATCTTTTGTAAAAAAGAGTCTCTGAGAGTAGGAGGGAGAGAGATGTTCCCAGCCTGGGAAGGGGATATAATTCAGCTGGTTCTACAAGTTTCTTGCAGGTTCTGCAAGCAAAAGACAGGAAGGAAGAGGAAGAAAGGTCTAGCGTACCCTAGAGGCAGGATCTTAGGCACCAGCTCTCAGCCCTGACTCCTTTGTCTAAGCATAAGGAGCCATCAGATTCCAAGAGAACATGAGGACATGGGCAACAGACATCTCAGAGATGACCACAGTGCATCTAGGATTGAAGGGGAGAATCTCCCTGAATTTGCTCTCCCCAAGAAACTTTCCAAGACCTTGGAGGAGACACACAGACTGAGCACCGACAATGATTTACCTCGCTAGGGGGTGGGGGTGGGGGGGTTCAGAGTCAGTTTTACAGGATTTAAAGAAAATAAAGAAATGAAATTTTACCTGCTATAATAATTATATTTTTCAAGCATTTATATAACACTTCACAATCTTCAAAACATTTCAAAAGCCTGCAGTTTACACGTGGGGAAGGCTGGTTGGAGAGTCAGCCTTAGCAACATCTGCCTCCCATAACATCACAGTGCCTCTCCAAGTCCATTACACCACTCAGTGAAACCTCTGATTAGGCAACCATGCCTGAAGCCATTTCAAGGAACGGCACTGAGGGATCTGATACCTCATTAATAAGACCACAAAGAACTTTAAGTGGACTTTGTTTTTCTTCTTCCTGACAAACTATCAGAGTTTTCCACTTTCTTTTTTAAATTAAGAAAAAAAATTTAACTTAAAAGCTAATTTACAATTATCTTGAATGCTTCAAGTTATCCGATCAATTTAGTAACACCAGACACTTTTAGCATCTAATTTCTGCTTTGAGTTATATGTTATCTATACTCATGATTAAAGGGGAAAAAATAACAGGAAAAACCTACTAGTCTGTGCCTGGAATAGTAATTGCTTCCATTAACATGCTTTCAAAGAATGAGAATAAATTTTGAAATGTTAACTCTGTGTGCCTATACATATGAGAAATGATTTACTGCTACATATTTCTACTGATGACTTTTATTTTTATTTGTAATTCTCTTTTGGCTTCCCAAAATAATGAAATACAAATTTTCTTTACTATAAACCAGTTTTTGAGTCGACTCCAACTCATAGCTACCCCATGTGTATTAAGGTAGAACCGTGCTCCATAGGGTTTTCCGTGACTGATTTTTGGAAGTAGATCACCAGGCCTTTTTTCCAAGGCACCTCTGTGTGGACTCGAACCTCCAATCTTTGGGTTAGAAATTGAGCGCATTAACAGTTTGTACCAACCGGGGGTTCTAAGGAGGGCTCAATTATCAGACAAAGTTATCTGGATAATGCTTTAATTTCCCTTTTGTGATTTAACATTTTGCAAATTTGGGGAAAGGACAGTCAGGAAATGGTTTGAGGAGACCATCCTGGATTTAAGGGAGAGGACCTTCATGAGTCTGGAGTCCTCTGAATGGCCAACCAGTGGACGCCTGTTGTTCCGCCCTAATGGGTGATCTATCATAACTGAGAAAATTGTTGAGGTAAGCCTCAGGAATAAAAAAAGGCAGAGTAGATGTGCCAGATCATTATTTAAAATGGCACGAGTGCTCCAACCAAATGCATTTATATTTCAGTGTTTGTCAGAGTGTTATTCATAATTTGTATAGAGTTTATGACATTTTGTGACTTCCTCATTCTTACTATCATTACTCATATCTAACTGGGATGCTCAGTCAGAATTGTATGGACAAACTGCCCCTTCCCCCAGTGGGAGGGGATGCACCCAAACCCAGCCTCTCAATGGATTAGTGGCTATCTTATAAACGCAAGAGATAAAAATGGAAAATTCTTTCCCCTGCAGAAAATCTTGCCTACATAGACACTGCATCCTTTCCCATCTAATTTCAATTGTATTTAATATAAACCAACTTCAGCTTCTGATTTTCTGAATAATGCATCAGAAGAGCTCTTCACATTTGCCCTTAATGTGTGCCAGGAAGATATAATCTCAGATAAGGAGGGAGGAGAATAACGATCCATTACTAGGAATAACGTTCCATCCAACAAAGAATGACTCAGCAAAGGGTTTAGTCAGGTAAAGAGTCAATTAACTCAAATACACTTGAATAAAAGCACAGATATTTACAGTGATCAAGATTATTCACTGTCCCTAGATCATTGTTATCAAAATTAAATACCTCCAGCGGTATTGCTAGGAAATGAGAGACAAATTGCATTATAAGTAGAAAAAAGATTTTTTTCTTTTTTCTAGTATATCTCTTCAAGTATATACTAAATAAAAACATTAAATAGCAGGGATCTGATTGACAAAGATTTAATTAACTGTCTAAATATTAAATGGTTTCTAAAACCAGCAAAAAATAAAAACAGTATTACATATATAATATATATGATATATTATATTGGAGCCCTGGTGGTTGGCAGTTGAAATCCACCAGCTGCTCCTTGGAAATCCTATGGGGCAGTTCTACTCCATCCTATAGGGTCACTATGAGTCAAAATCGGCTCGACGACAACGGGTTTGGTTTTTGGTTGTTTTATATATGTATACTATTGTCAGGTGCCATCAAGTCATTTCTGACTCATAGCAACCCTATGTATAACAGAACAAAATGTTGCCTAGTCCTGTGCCACCTGGACGATCGTTGCCATGCTTGAGCCCATTGTTGCAGCCACTGTGTCAATCCATCTAATTGAGTGTCTTCCTCTTTTTCACTGCCCCTCTACTTTACCAAGCACGATGTCCTTCCCCAGGGATTGGCCCCTTCTGATAACACAGGGATGGCCAGGACTGGGACGAGTTTCATTCTGTTGTAGATAGGGTCACCATGAGTCGGAACTGACTGGACGACCACTAACAACAATAAAGATAACATGTCCAAAGGAAGTGAGACAAGGTCCTGCCATCCTTACTTCTAAGGAACATTCTGGCTGTACTTCTTCCAAGACAGATTTGTTCATTCTTCTGGAAGTCCATGGTATATTCAATATTCTTCACCAACACCATAATTTAAAGGCATCAATTCATCTTTGGTCTTCCTTATTCATTGTCCGGCTGTCGCATGCACATAAGGCAATTGAAAATACCATGGCTTGGGTCAGGTGCACCTTAGTCCTTAAAGTGACATCTTTGCTTTTTACACTTTAAAGAGATCTTTTGCAGAAGATTTGCCCGATGTAATAGGTCATTTGATTTCTTGACTGTTGCTTCCATGGGCGCTGTTTGTGGATTCAAGTAAAATTAAATCCTTGATAACTTTAATATTTTCTCCGTTTATCATGATGTTGCTTATTGCTCTAGTTGTGAGGATTTTTGTTTTCTTTATGTTGAGGGGAGTCCTGGTGGTCCAGTGGTTAAGAGCTCAGCTGCTAACCAAAAAGTTGCTCCTTGGAAATTCCATGGGACAGTTCTACTTTGTCCTATAGGGTCACTATTGAGTTGAAATCCACTCGAC